TAGAGGAACTACTTATCCATTTTCCATTCTCTACCATTTGTAGCTTTACCTAGAATTTCTCAAATATAACCAATAGCATTTTACTCCCATTACTTCAAGGCAAGATCTGTGCCTGGCTTAGTATCTGTCACATAGCAATACGAAAAATATTTGCTGAATTAAACTGAGTTAAATTCTTTCTCTTATAGAGGTAGGATATAAACTCAGGTCTTCTTACTCCAAGTCTACTATTCTCAATAACATACAACAATATAGGTGCTATATAAAATTACAAAGCCTTACATTTTTAGAGTATATTTGAATAGTTTTACAGTTGAACACAATGCTTTCGCATCCATTACATTTTTTAAAATGGCATGTTCATTTCACTCAGCTAATTATTCTCTCTGAATCAGAATTGAGTCTAATAGAGTAATTATCTTTATTACATTGTTAGCAAGACAAATCAATAATTAATCATGCAGAGGGATAAATGGAGCCTGTTCCTGCAGGCCACTGGAACACTGCCTTCTATATTCTTCAATGCATTTCTCCTGACAAGGTCCTTCCTGGCATTTCTTGGATTTAATCATTATTAATTTTGGAAATCAGATCATTACAGTGTTCTTGATTTGGGGAGGAACTGTTTTTGGAATCTCATGTTAAGCCAGTCTTGGCATTCTTTTTCTTGTTTCTGTGGTCTGTGACCAGGTAGGCTAAATTTATCACTTGTTTTCCACTTTATGGACTTTTGGAATGTACGTGGAGGATATTGTGAAGGGCCGTTCAGACCTCTCTTCAATGAGGGACTTGTTGCCCCAGTTGCTGGCAGTGCTGTATGCAGACAGCCTTCAAGCAGTCAGTCCCTTCAGGGACTGTCTCAGGTGCAGAATGCTGCATAGCCAAGGTTATGCCTCCTCCCTGGGGCAGCCCATTTCCTATGACTAGTCAATTCAGGAGCATAAAGTCGACCATATCAGCCTAACTTGGGATGAGTTAGAAAAGCCATTTAAGCTCCAGAGCACCCTGTGGGGCCAGAGAAGGGTTTAATGGGTCTGCATCATAGCTTCTTCTTCTGCCTAATCCATCTTCTTCCCCAATTGTGGTTCCCAAGGGCACGTCTTTATAACACTATGAACTCTTAAAGTCTGCTTATCAGGAAACCCAATCTGCATGCCATTTCCTATTACTAAAAGTTTTTCTTTAAATCAACAGAAGTTGTATGTAAATGAGTTGTTTTTAAAAGAAAATTACCGAAGATATCCTATTCTAGCAAAATGGTGGGCTAGTCCAATGTGGAAATCCTGCTGCTACAAATAAAAAAAGAAGAACTGGTAATGGATGAGCCTTGGATTTTTCTCTTTTTTAAAATACATTTTTATTGTTGATAGTATTACAGATGTCCCCCACTTTTTACCCTTTATCCCCCCTCCTCCCAGCCCCTAATCACCCCCTCAGGTCTTCACCACCCTATTACCTGTGTCCATGGGCTGTGCATATAAGTATATATTTCTTGGTTTATCTCTTCTCGTCCCCTCATCCCCACATTGACGTATGTCAGCCTGTTCCATGCCTCCATGCTTTGGGTCTTATTTTGTTGGTCAATTCGTTTTGTTCATTAGATTGCACAGATAAAGGAGATCATGTGATACTTGTCTTTCTCAGATTGGCTTATTTCACTTAGTATAATATTCTCCAGGTCCATTCATGCTGTACCAAAGGGCGATCCCTCTTTTTTACAGCTGCATAGTATTCCATTTTATAAATGTCCCACGGCTTTTTTATCCATTCACTTACTAATGGGCACTTGGGCTGTTTCCAAATCTTAGGTATGGTAAATAATACTGCTATGAACATAGGGTGCATTTATTCTTTCTTATTGGTATTTGGCAGGAGGGAGGGTAGGATATATTTTATTTATTTGTGTCTTCTCTGTTTCTTGATGAATCTGGCTAGAGGTCCATCAATCTTATTTATCTTTTTAAATAACCAGCTCTTGGATTTATTGATATTTTGTACTGTATTTTTTGTCTCTATGTCATTTATTTCCTCTCTGATCTTTATTGTTTCCTTCCTTCTACTTCCGCTAGGATTTTCTTGTTGTTCTCTTTCTAATTCATTTAGCTGTAGGGTTAGGTAGTTTATTAGTACTTTTTCTTGTTTCTTGAGATAGGTCTGTAATGCTATGAACTTTCCTGTCAGGACTGCTTTTGCCATGTCCTGTAGGTTTTGGGTGGTTGTGTGCTCATTTTCATTTGTTTCCAGGAAGTTTTTAATTTCTTGCTTGATCTCATTGGTAACTCATTCATTGTTTAATAACCTGCTATTTAGCCTCCATGTATTTGAGTATTTTTGAGGTTTTTTATTATAGTTGATTTCTAACTTCATGCCATTGTGATCTGAGAAGATGCTTGGTATTTTATCAGCCTTCTTGAACTTATATAGACTTGTTTTGTGCCATAATATGTGGTCGATTTTTTAGAATGTTTCATGTGTTTGTATTAGTTACAAACAAGAAAGCTCCTGTGCTCCCATAGTGCCTTATTGCATAGTGCCTACCACATGACTATTGTAACTTTTGGTAAACATGTCTGTCTCCCCTACCAGGATGGGGCAGTGTCTTGATCATATATGTGAACACAATATCGATCACTGTGTCTAACACATGTTAAGTATTCAATTCATATTGATTGAATAAATATGTAAAAGTATGAGTGACAGAGAACAAGTTGTCTCCAGCTCTCCTTTTTCTCATTAGTATCTGAAACAAGCAAGTGAGCACTTTTTGTTCCAAAGATTTGCTTATACTTATTATAAACAAGAAGAATCTATATTCATTCCACAAGGACAAGTGATGGGGATTAAGGAATAGACTTGATTAGGGAAATTTATAGTTGAAGGGTCAACATGAGAAGGCATAGGTTCCCTGTTCTCCCTTATCCCTTAGAGAGATGAGTTGGGTCCAGGGATTTCTGTACACATGGAAAGTCTATCTGCTACACTGCCTACTTAGAGTACAATCATGGGGGGGAAAGTAGCCTTCTCAGAGGTGAGCTATTTGGGCATCTAGCTGCCTGGGAAAGTCAGATATCTAGCACCTGGAGACCTTAAGGGCCCAGGGGAAATTGAAATCCCTCCTATATTCATTTAGAATGTAGCTACTGGTCTGACAGAAAGTTTGATTTTGGGCGCATTCTTTCCCATGGGGAAGAGGGGCAGCTTGTTTTTCATGTGATATGAAGTTGGTATCTGTCTTAGTTTGCCATAACAAAATACCAGAGGCTAGGTGGTTTAAATAGCAGAAATTTGTTTTCTCACAATTCTGGATGCAAAAGTCTATGATCAGCAAGGTTGGTTTCATCCTATTGCTTCTCCCCTTTGTTAAAGATGGCCATCTCAGAGGACTTCAGACTCATGAAAATCCTTTATATAAGTTCAGGATGTTCTCAAATCATTTTCCCAAATTTGTAAATCATTAAACCATAAAAAAGAAATTAAAGTATCATGAAGATAACTTTCTCTCATAATTGAGCTCTCTTATAGTAAATACAAGTTGTATTTCAATATATTTGGAAAGCACACACAAAAAAAGAGTTACTAATGGAAAAGTAAAATCCATGGATGGAAAGCTGTAGTAGTAAATCATTTCTCTTTTGTATATGCATGGCAGAGTTAATTTTTCAAGTTATTCTCCCTCTTTGAAAGCATGTTAATAGGACATTGCTATTCCAAACACAGATTAGTAGGTTTTCCCCCATTATCTTTCCTCCTTAATTATGAGTATGGATAACATATGACTCAAAGCAGAAATTAGATGCTAAAATGTCTGGTATTACTAAATTGATTGGATAACTTGAAACATTCAAAATAATTATGAATTAGCTGTAAATTTAGACATTAGTTTAAAGTGCTTACATTTTAAAAAGAAAGTGAACAATTCTGATAGCTTATCAAGGAGAAGAAAAACAAGAGGCACTTAAGTCTCTGTGGTCTGTTTAATGAAGCATCAAATCCCAGAATGCCTTCCTTTAAAATGGCTTCAGAAGGGGTTCATCTAATCAGAGGTTTCACTGAGTGCTGTAATGGACTTCAAGAGGCACTGTGAATTTGTGGAAGGGTGTGTGTGTGTGTGTGTGTGTGTGTGTGTGTGTGTGTGTGTGTGTTGCGGTGGGGTGAAGGACTCTAAAGCTAGCCAGCTTTTCCTATCTGTAAACTGGGGAAAATGTTTTGAAAATTGTGAGGTGTTATATACATTTGAGAAATATCATGATTGCAGCAGGTTAAATTCTGTTTTTTTTATTTTCATTAAATCCTATTAAAGTTACTCTGAGTCCCCATCCCACAAGGCAAGTTATTATTGATATTCTTTCTGTGTATCTTCCCTAAGGTCCTAAAGGTGGCATACTAACTCAGCCCTCTTTTATTCCTGATGCTCATCCCCAACAGTTCTCAGATAGTCTAGAAAGATCTCAGAAAGATTCTAGGAGAGGAGGGGGGAGCCTTGGGCAAAGCTAAATTTTTACCTCCTATCTTAGGTGTACACCTGTCATCTTGGAGATGCCCATTGCCTATGTCCTTTCTTATGTCCTCTTCTAATGTTATGGCTCTGAGGTTTATGGTCCATGCTTAATTAAGGGAGTCTGGGAGCTGAGAGCCTGGTGTCTAAGAGCCGGCCTCTAGGCATACCAGGCAAACCCTTCTCTTGGAGGCCCTTGCTTCCTGCCTTCTGCTTTGGAACTTTGTATCCCCTTTCCAGACTTGGAACATCTCTTTCCTTTTCCCTTTTACCATCAAAAGCATCTCGTTGTCTCCTCCATCATCCAGACCCCTTCACAAAAGGCAGGACAAGTATACTTTTGTAAGCAGTTTCTACCTTCTGACCAAAAGTAGGGTGATTTTCTTGAAATGCAGAGATTAAAAAATAAGGAGAACAAAAGTCAAGCTATTATACCAGCACATTATTTTTAAAATATAAAACACAAAAATAATGTTACTTTTCCTTGTTTTTTTTTCATATATAGTAAAAAGGCGAGCAAAGAAAAATTTCACAGCTGAAGGCGACCAGCTATTTAAGATGGGCATCAAGATTCTCCAGCAGTCTAAAGGGCAAAGACAAAAAGCACAGTGAGTCTTTATCCAGTTAAATAAGCCAAGTTAAATTTCCAGGTTGAGAAAAAGAAGAATTCAAAAACTAGTTTCAATGTCATTAAAATATTATTGATATAACAAATAAACATATTTATTCATAAGTTTTTATTTTTAAGGTATCCTACATATTATCAGTATAAATAAATGGAATCATATGTGAAATTGTGGTTCCTACACATTAAGTGAAATGCAGAATTAAGGCACTTATCTGAACATTCAGGTAAAAATATTCTCTTTTGACTTTTTATTAGATACTAGAGGCCCAGTGCACGAATTTGTGCACCAGTGGGGTCCCTTGGCCTGGCCTGCAGGATTGGGCCAAAACAGGCTCTCCACCATCCCCTAAGGGATCCCAGATTGCAAGAGGGCACAGGCCAGGCCAAGGGACCCCACCAGTGCACGATCAGGGCCAAGGAGGGATGTGGGAGGTTGGCCAGACTGGGAGGGACCGCAGGAAGGCTCTGGGGCGTGTCTGGCCCTTCTCGCTCAGTCCAGATTAGCAGGACCCCAGCAGCAAGCTAACCTAAAGGTCAAGACATCTGCCCCCTGGTGGTCAGTGCATGTCAGTGCAGTGGTTGAGCAGCCTTAGTATATCATTAGCATATTACGCTTTGATTGGTTGAATGGCTGACCAGAAAACTGGACACTTGGCATATTAGGCTTTTATTATATAGGATTCCAAATAAAATTAAATTCATTATTTAATTAGTGTAGTTGTTTTAGAATGCTTTATTCTCCTATGTATTTGTTCAGTACTTTCTGGTTTTAAAGCACTTTCGTGTATGTGATCCCATTTTATCCCCAGACTTATGAGTGAAGAAGTAAGGGAATTGATCCTCTCATTCAGTCATTCAGCCTCTTTGTATGTATGAGAGGCAAATTGGTAAACAAGTCAGTGCTATTAGAATTTACAAATGTTAAGCAAGCATGTCAGGGAAATACAAATTTGTCTGAAGGAGTCAAGAAGCCTCTGTGACAGCCAGCATTAGCTGTCATTAAGAATTACCCCACATCAACAAAGAAGGTTGGGAACTATGCTGCTGCCCCACACCAAGTTTCTGATGTGCTCTAGAGATGCATTTAGCCTCCCCCTCTCCCTGCACCCACCTTAATACAAGATACCTAATTGAACTTTCCTTTTGCCCCTGCTGCCCAGTTTCTCCTCTTGGGGATTGTAGCACAGATCTTAATCCTATTTAATTTGCCAACAACTTTCTCCAGCCCTGGGTCCTGCTTCTAGTATTCCTTATATTACCTTGGACCTTCCTGACAGGGGAACCTAGATACCTACCTCTCCCTCAAAATCAAAGACACATAGAAAGATTGGTTTTGCAACCCATTGCTGCACCCAGGACCAGTGAATGGATATACTGCTGGATCCTGCAGTCCGAGGTTTCTCTGCCTGATCCATGGCAGTGCCCGTCTAGTCTGAGCATCCCACCAGGCTATGCAGTTGCAGCAGCAAGCCATATGACAGAGAGCTTTAGGGAGTCTGTATCCTGATGTCAGATCTATCCCTGGATGCCAGACATGTGCATTCATTGACCTTTGAGACCTTCTATTTTACTTGTGTTCTGTTTCCCAGGTTCTCAGCTTGCTCTGACAATTTCTTGCTTAACCTCCTGACTTCTTTTCTATTTTTTTCACTGAAGTCTACTCTCTGTTTTGCCATCCGGGACTCTACTGCCTACCTGGATGTCACTAGCCCATCCTTTTTTGTCTATTCATTCTGTCCCAGCCTTTTACCAAGAGCAGGCTATGTTAGCATCAGCCTGGAAATGTGGTACATAAAGCTGAGTCTCCTGATCCTTCTAAACTGGTAGCAATGGCAGATATGTGTGTTTGTTCCAACATTTGAGTCAATGTCACAGGTAAAGGTTAAATGCTTTCATGTCTTACCATTACCAGAAAGGAAGTTATAATAGTAAAAATCAATCCCAAAAGTACTCTCTGTCTCTGACACAAGTTTTGACCTTGCAAGTCTCTCCATCACTGCTGTCATACAGATCCGTTACACAGATCCATTACTGCTGTACAGAAGGTGGCTTCTGACCCCTCAGAAAATGCAATGTGAGACAATCCAATGGCATCTATATTTGCAATCACTAAGCTCTCACACCATTTACCCACTAATTACAGGAGAAAATTACAGTGCCATAAAACTTTAGAACCTATGCAAAAGTGGTGGTGATGATGATGATGATGATGATGATGATGATAACTAAATTTATTGAGTACTTACTCTATACCAGATGCTATTCCAATTACTTCCTATGGATTATTTCATTGAATCTTCCCAGCAAACCTATGAAATAGGTGTTATTATTATCCCTATTCCATAGGCGAGGGAGGCACAGGGAAGTTAAATAACTTGCCCAAAGCTCTGAACTAATAAGTGGTAGAGCCAGGATTTGAACTGAGGCGGTCAGACTCTAGAGCCCTTATAATCATTAGGTTTTGTTTGGTTACTGTTTTTCCATACAGCCCTGACTTTGATCTGATAAGAATATGTTGTGTTATAAAAAATTATTTCAGAGTATTAAAGGACTGTTGTTCTCATGATAGTAACTTCCTAGAAGTGACAATCAGTTTTGATTATTTTCAATTGATTTTTATTATATTGTTATATATTTCAGAATTTACTATAAAATAAATGTTCATAGTGAACTTGGAGTTCACTATTTTAGGACAAGTGCCTCAATTTTTCACTTCACTTGGTATATAAGCTTGGTATATATAATGTATTTTATATATTTCTCCTTTTTGTCAGCTTCCCTATTTGTCAGATATATTGAAATTTTAATCTTAGACTAATCTAAGGATAAAAGAATCTACTGGGCTAGAGGTGTAATGAACATTAGCTAAACCATGTTGTTAAAAGCAATGACAACTGGGTCCTAGAGAGAACTATTATGAAAGAGGGAACAGAAAATTTCATTTTTTATTATCAAACTTCTAACTGCATATTCTTGAAACAGAGCCTACATATTCTTTGCCAAAGCAGCTGACCTGGGAAACTTGAAAGCTATGGAGAAAATGGCTGATGCTTTGCTATTTGGAAATTTTGGCATGCAAAACATAACAGCAGCTATCCAATTATATGAGCTGTTGGCCAAAGAAGGATCATATAAAGCCCAAAATGTGAGTTTTGGAAAAAATAAATCTCAAATAACTACATCCTGAAATAACTATAACATGTAAGAGGAATTGAGTGATAGTCTTCCCGCACTACTTCGTGAATCCAGACCTAGGGAAGTTACTGCAATGCACAGAATAGTGTAGTGTGAGGGCAGGGAACCAGCAGCAGCCGTGGGCAAATCCTTACAGTTACATTAGTGACTTTCAGGAATGGAACAGAACTGCTCTCTACTCCACTTTCCATGTCCATGTGTGTTCTGAGAAAATTTGAGAACTCTGAATTCTTAACATACGTTTTATATGTAAAGTATATTCACCTATACAAAGAAATATAGAACTAAATCTATTTCCTTGGGATGATGTTTTCCTGGTTTTCATGTTTGAAATACTTAATAAGTTATATATATTTACTTTTCTACTTAAAAATGAATTTCATTTTATTCCAAGGATAACATAAGCATTTCATATAAAATTTGAAAAAAATTCAAAAAAAGACCTTCATAAACCAACTACCCTGATTCAGCTATTGCATTTTCCCTTGGTTTCTTCCTCTCTCCATCTTCCTTTTTACACCATTCTAATCACAATACAAGTGCATATGTCATTTTGTTTCTGGCTACTTAATGCTATAGCAAAATCATATTTTCATGTTTCTAGTCTTTTTAGTAAAAATATTTCTTCCTAATTACAAAAGAAATTCATGCTCATTACAAAAAGAAATCTGAGAATACAGAAAGTATGAAAAAGAAAGTCAAAGTTGTCTAAAAACTTTCCTCCCAGATATTTGTGTGCGTGTGTGTGTGTGTGTGTGTGTGTGTTTTGTTTTTTTTACCATCCAGTAAATTTAAGAAACTATGCTTTGGAATCAGAAAAACTTAAGTTTGAATCTATACTGCCACTTGCTTATTGTGTAGCTATGTAAGAAAACCTTTTTCCCTTCTTCTGCATGAGAATTTGACCTTCTGTTCACTCTAGCTCTGTTTCCCTGGTAATTTGATAGGAGTAAAATGTTAACTGTGTTTCTAGGGAGCATTGCTTATGATTGAAATGATCTCTGATTGGAAAGCTTCCTTTGGACCAGGAGGAACCATAACGAACTATAAATACCTGACGGTCGTAGTGATTCTTACCCTGGACACTATATCTATGGAGTTATTACATGGGGCGTGACATTTTTATGTCAGGGTGGCTCCCACACCCACCCAGTGTTAATATAAGCCCCTGGATCTGAGCCATCATTTAAGGGACCAAAGATGGCTACTGGAATATTGTGCAAACTGCAGGGAAGATTTCCACAGATGAGAGAGCCTGGTACTGCCTTTTGAAACTGTGGTTCCTGTGTGATACCCAACTGAATAGACTGTTGGTAAATGCAGCCTATTGGAGTCTTATGAATCTTTATGTTTAATTGAACCAGAAATTAGACCAGAAGACTGTGGGGCAACCAATCTAATTTTTAACTGTAGTTAAGATAATGATAAAACACTGGGAACTATCAGTCTGCTCTCTGTGTCTATGAGTCTGTTTCTCTTTTGTTTGTCAATTTACTATATATTGTTCTTTAGATTCCACATGTAAGTGAAATCATATGATATTTGTCTTTGTCTGATTGACATTTCACTTCCATAAAATCCTTTAGGTCTATCCATGCTGTTGCAAATGGTAAGATTTCATTTTGTGTGTGGATGATTCATATTCCCTTATATAAATGTAAAGCTTTACAAACTAGTCATGGGAATGTAAAGTATAGCATAGGAAATATAGTCAATAATATTGTAATAACTACATATGATTCCAGGTGGATACTATAAATATCAGGGGGAACATTTATAAAGTATATGGTTGTCTAACCACTATGGCTATACAGCTAAAACTCATACAAAATAATAGTGAATATAAATTATAATTTAAAAGAAAACTTCACTGGGTACTGTAGCTGTCTGGTTCACTGCTGTATCACTAGCATTTAGCACAATACCTGAGACAAAGAAATATAAATAATTAATTATATACTTATATAATTATATACTTATATAAATAATTATATACTGATATAATTAATTATATATATGTAATTAGTTATATAACAATTAATGATGAATTAATCAATGGAGTTATTGTAGGATTAAAATAATATGTGAAGGTACTTAATTCCATGCCTGGAACTTTGTAATCATTCATTATAAAAAAAAGAATATAAATATCACTCCCACTATTATTCTTCTAGAATTTACCTATAACTATGTAGAATTTATTTTTGAAAATGACATCATACTTTAATTGCTGTTTCCTAATTTGCTCTTTATTCACTTAACAATACATCATAGACATCTTCCCATATAAATATATACAGATTAATATCATCATTTTAAATAGCCATATAATTTTAATTAATGTGAGTTGTTGAATACTATTTTTACCCTAGGTAATATTTTGCAGTTAAATATAAAATAATTATATTTACAAAGCAGTAAACAGATTTATAAATGTTATAATAAAATATGAGAGTTATCAAACCTTCTTTCTCCATATTTGGATAATCAAAAATATAAAGTTTCAAGACAGATCAAATTTTATCATCATGTCCACCACTAAAATGATACCACCTAGCCCTTCCAGTCAAGATGGTAGCTGAGGTAAATGCAGTACTCAAATCCTCCCACAACTACATCAGAATTACAATTAAACTATAGAACAACCACCATTCAGATTCTCCTAAAATCTAGCTGAACAGAAGTGCTATATAACTAAGGATATAAAGAAGAAGCCACATTGAGACTGGTAGGAGGGGTGAGATGCAGAATGGGCTAGTCCCACACCCATGCGTGTTGGATAAAAATTAGGAGGGCTATCTCAAATGCAGTGGTGCCCCCTGAGAATCAAGGGGTCTTAGCCCCCCACCAGGGTCCCAGCTCAGGATTCAAGTGCTGGGAAGAGAAGTCCCGATAACTTCTGGCTGGTAAAGCCAGCAAACTTTGTGGCTGAGTGAGACGGAGGGCTACAGAAGTCCCAGGAAATTCCTCTTAAAGGGCTGACACACAGACTTATTCCAAGTCACTCACTCAGTTTAGCACTGGGCATCAGGGACATACAGGAAAGGAGGAAGTTGTCTAGCTTTGGGGCAAGAGTTGGTGGGGGGTGAGGGAGCTTTCTCCAAGACAGAAATGGGAGCAAAGGCCATTGTTTCTTGTCTGGGCTGTCCCCTCACAGAGCCAGCAGGCAAGCACCATATCTGAGTTTCCATCAACCTGGCTAACACAGTTTGCCCCACCTTGGTGATTCCCTAAGACCCCACCCTACCCAACTTGCAGGCCCAACCCAAGCAATTCAGTGGCTTTTCCATACACACAATCTATCATGGCTCATGCTACAGACAGCATTCCTAAAATATTTCAAACAAGTAGCATCTGGCCTCAGCATACTGTGTACCTCTTGCTAAGTGGCCCCAGGCACGGCACCAGTGGTAGCTGGACTTCGTTAACAGCTTGGCCTCTCCTGGCCCCATCTCCAGATCACTTTGTAGCTCATGCCAGGTGGCCCCAGGGCAGGACTCATGTGGTAGCTAACCTTGGCCTGCATCTTCTTGGAGGCCCCAGAACAAGCACACTTAGCAGACAGCTTCAGATCATGTCAAAGCATCACCCTGACATGGATTCTGCTCAGTAGAGGCAGTCCCTACACAGCTGATCCTCCTCAGTGATCATAGCCAGCCCTTGTAACTTATCAGCCTGGGGGTAAACCCCTCCCATTGATGTAGTAACAGCAATCAAGGCTCAACTACAACAGGGGGGTGTACATGTCCCATGCAGGGGGCAAACCAGGACCTACAGGACACCTGGTATACAAGGCCATTCTACCAAACCCAGGAGATGTAGCTGCTCTAATACACAGAAATTAACACAGAGAGGCAGCCAAAGTAAGGAAACAAAGAAACATGTCTCAAATGAAAGAACAGAACAAAACTCCAGAAAAAGAACTATACTAAATGGAGAGAGTTTAAAACACTGGTTATAAGGATGCTTAATAAAGTTAAAGGAATAGTAGTTGAACTTAGAACTTAAAGAGGTATAAAAACAGAGATAGAAAACATGAAAGGAACCAGTTAGAAATGAAGAATATACCAGCTGAGATGAAGAATACATTAGAGGGAATCAGTAGTGGAGCAGATGAAGCAAAAAATCAAAGTAGAGATTTGGAAGATAAGGAAGCAGAAAACACCCTCAGAACAACAAAAATAAGCAAGAATTTTTAAAAATGAGAATAGTATTAGGGGCTTCTGAGACAATTTTAAGCATACCAACATTTGAATCATGAGGGTTCCAGAAAGAGAAGAGAGAGAACAAGAAATTGAAAACCTATGTAAAAAGTAATGATGGAAAACTTCTCTAACTTAGTGAAGGAAATAGACATACATGTTCAAGAAGCTCAAAGATAAACCCAAAGAGGCCCACCTCAAGACATGTCATAATTAAAATGTCAAAGGTTAAAGACAAAGAGAATCTTAAAAGCAACCAGAGAAAAGCAGTTAGTTATCTACAAGAGAGTTCACATAAGATTGTCACATTAATTCTCAACAAAAATTTTGAAGGCCAGGGTTGCTCATCTCATCTCTACCACAGCACAGTGTTAATGACCTACAACCAACATAACACC